GCGGGAGGTGTGCACCAGCAGCGTGATGAGGGTGGAGGTGGCGGGGCAGACGCAGTTCAGCGCCAGCATGGCGTATTTGCACTCCTCCTCGCAGACGACGTGATCTGAAAGGCAGAGGGGACCGTCACGGCGGGGGGGGGGGGGGGAAAAAAAAGCCGGCGGTGCCCGGGGATGCAGTAAATTTGGGGTGGTGTTGAGGGCTGGGTGCTTCCCCTTCCTGCCGGTCCGGGAGGGCTTTCAGCCGATCAACAGCCCACCGGGAACACCACAAATGGGATTAATGCAGGCAGGAAAGCAGGGATGCAGGCTGGAAACCAGCCAGGTGGACAGCAGCCCACCAAGGCCACCATCGCCGCATCTGCGGGGACGCACGCCGAGGCTCACGTGGGACTGGTGTGCCCGCACCCAGCCCGCCCCAGGGCAGCCAGCTCAGGCACATTGCTTTAGTGTGCATCGTGATAAAGGGGCTGGCGGCCCTGAAATATCTTCCAGCAGTCGGGAGGAGTCTCAGCACCAGGTCAGGGACTCCTCTGAGATGGAAACACTGCTGGAAACATCTCTGGTGGCAGGGAAGACAGTCCAGAGTAGCGAAGCGAGCAGTGCTGCCCGCTGCTGCGCAGCCCCTCCGACTCACCAGCAAACTTGACGTGAAACTTGTTTTCAGGCTTTAGGATCTGAACGTAGAGAGGACAGTTTGGAGCAAAATCTTTCACAGCCCAGGCTCTCAGGATGGTCTGGTGGTCCTAGCCGAGGAGAAGAGCAAGAGGTGCTTGTCTGATGGCTTATTTTCCCCAACGCTTCTACACCTGGGATGAACTGCAAAGCACCCAGCCACTGCGGAGATGTATGCCAGGGCTGCTCCAACACCCACTGCTAACGGGGGATCCCCTGCTCCCCAAAACCCAGCACCAATGGGAAACTGGGACAGCAGAGGGAAGGTGAGCCCGCAGGGGCTGGGACGGCATGTCTCTGTGCCGTCCCCATGCCACCTCCGTGTTTCTCTGCGGTCACTGCCTGCCCACGGGGACCCTTCGGCAACTTCATTACAAGCAGGATCGCCAGGTGCCAAAGGAGGGAAGGGCCGGCAGCGGCTCAGCAGCAGGGAGGAAGCACAGCACCCTTCCCTCCGCGCATTAGCACCTGCAGAAAAGACCCCTCCAGCGGGGCCGCATGGGCTCAGCACGGCACGGGCAGACAGGAGCCACCGCCACGGCACGGGCAGCGTCCCTGGCACCGGCCGGCAGCAAGAGCTGTCACTGCTGCTACCTCCTCCCTCTCCCATGGCTCCAAAAACTAAGATCTTCCCAGCAAAGTCCCTGCCCAGGCTGGGGTAAGATTGCATTAGGTGAGGAGGTTTTTGGGGTGAGCTGCCCCAGGGCACGCAGGGTGCACAGCCTGTGCTGTGCTCAGAGCTCAGCACTCGAACCCCACGCTCTCGCCCCAGCTGCCTCCCGGCGTGCTCCTGTGGTGCGCAGAGGCAAGATGCAGCCATCGCCCCGGTCCCTTCTGGCCTGAGAAAGGAATAACCTCTGACCGTGCCATCCCCCAGGCCTGGCTTACCGCCGCGGTGCGGTCCACCTCGTTTCGGCTGCTGAGAATGAAGCAGGCTTCTCCGTTGTCCATCCTGCAAACAGAGAGCAGCGACCCCATGAATTGCATGGGCCAGCAAAGCCGGGCACCTGCCCGTACCAGCCAGGGCGCTGCCAGCCCCCTCCGAGACCCCTGCGAAGGCATGCAGGGACGCCCATCGTCATGCATCTGGGCTGCCATTACTGGGGACCCTCCTCCGCGGCTCCAAGGCCCACGGGCAGCTCAGCAGCGCAGCAGGACCAGCCTCGCCGTGGATGTGCAGCGTGTCCCTCTGCTCACTTGGCTCTCATGAGGTCCTGGTCCTTCAGCGCAGAGCCCTGGAGGTAGATCACTCGCTGTGACCACAGAGGGATCTGCAGGACTCGACGCACCTGGATATCCATCTCTGTTGGGCAAAGTATCACCACGTAGTAATCCTGAAAGAGAGAGGCTTGCGTGGGTCGGCAGGCTGGAGGTCCCGCACACACGAGCTGAGAAACGGGGTTTTGCTGCCTGAGCGAACAGCTCCTGTGGGGCTTCTGATATTTGTTCCCATGTGTGACACCCCCTGCCCCTGCTCGAGGGCCCTGCAAGGGTCTTGGAAAACACATCAGCAGTTTCACCACTCTGTTCTGCATGACAAGGCCAAAGCAGGCACATCTGCATGCCCAAAGTGGAGCCTCTTGCAGTTACAGACACAAGCAGGATTTTACAGCTTGAATGTGTGGAAGCAAGGCTGGGCGATGGTAATGAAGCATATGTGTTTTGGAATGAAATGCAAATCTGAAACATGTCTGCGATGCTTTCATCCTGGGGAGCTGGAAAGGCAGTCGTTTGCTCGAAGATCATGATTATGTGGGGATACTCTAGCTGGGTAAATCCCGCTGAAGTTTAGCAATTACATGTTCTGTTTCTGTCTGAGATTCTTCATTCAGTAAAGGCACCCTCAAATCTAGAAAAGTCCCTCTGGTCCCTCTCCATGGGCTTACACAGTGCTTTAACAGGCCTGGCCAGAAAACGGGGTGGATCAGGCAGAGAGCCCCATGGCTGAGATGGCCAAGGGAGGTGGCCGCAGGGTACCACTTGTCACCTCTCCTTGGCCAGTGGAGCACATGCTTCCCGGTGCTGGGCTGGATGGTTTTTACCCTATTCTTTGCTACAGCCACTGTAGCTGGGCAGGGCACTCGCCACCAGCAGCGACCCAGCTGTGCCCAGCAAGGCTGCGAGCCTGGCAAGGGCAAGCGTTGACCGAGCACATGAGAACGTGCCTGGTCCTCACCTGCAGGCGTGGGTGGGCGTAAAACTCGTTGAGGAAGTCCATGAGGAGATCAATCTTGAGGGAGCTGACACAAAGGACGACGTGTTTCTCTGTCTGGGCACGGTGACGGCTGTAATTGCCTCCCGACTTCTGCCGCTCCATCCACAGGTAGACGAGCTCCTCGAACTGCAAACAAAGGCAGAGAGCTGACATCCCCATCGGCGGGGCTGCCCAGGTCCAGGCTCTGCATCCCTCTCCATCCTTGGGCTCAGGGATCTAACCTGGAGCGGCAGCACGACCAAGGCGACACAAATCATTATCACGACGAGGAGCTGGGAGGGCCAGATCTTTGGTGTCACGTCTCCATAGCCCACGGTGGAAAAGGTGACGATGCAGAAATAGAAGGACTTGAAGAGGGAGAGCTTCTCACCTGCTCTTTCTAAATGCTGGATGCCACAGGTCCTGGGGGGAGAAAGCACACATCACAGTGACTGCTTCCCTGCCTGGGAGATAAAAAAAAACTGCTGAAGTCAGCGGTAAACCCTAAAGGGTGACTTATGCCCATGTCCATGGAAGAAATTTGTCTGTAACACGCTGTCAGCATCAGCAGTGGATTTATGTCACCAAGAGAAATGATTCAGCTAGTGGCGCTTACAGACAAAGGAGTTAGTGTGATGTGGTTGCTCACCAAAGCAGCATGGGGAAGTTTAGGTCCCAGGTGATGGGTCACACTAAGACCGTGCCATGGATGGCATGTTGAACATCACCTGGAGGCTATTGCAAAAACACAGAAATGTGGAAGCAAGCAGCTGTCCCAGTAAGGCTTTGGGGGGACTCAGCCTAGGGGAAGGGCTCCCACTTATCATGGGGCTGCGTGCCGGCAGGCAGGGGCAGATCCCGTCGCCCACTCCTGGCCCTGTGCCGCTGCCCTTGCACAGCCGTGCCGCAGAGCCACCTGGCTCCCCGCGGTTAGGCAGGCAGCATAACTCCACAAACCTGCAGTTTCAAAGTCATCTTGCTAAACGCAAGCATCACCTAAGTCGTCCTGGACCCGAATTGTAGCCCTGCTGCATCCTCCAAGAAACACATCCACGGCCCCAGCAGGCAGGAGGTGCCACGGGCAGGGAGCACTGATGAGCTCCAAAATTGCGTTAGTCATTCACATCAGAGGATCGACTTTATTGCCAAAGACTCATGAGCCTAAGCGCTTCATTTCCTGTCCGTTCAGCAACTTAATTGGTATTATGTGCTTCAAATCCAGACCAAGGGAGCCAGAGGAAAATTCAAGAAGCCTAATTCAAAGCTAAGTACCCAGCGATGAGAACCGACTCCTTTATAGAGAGACGCCCTTGTTGTTGGCAACACGCGGGGTAAAGGGCCCAGTTAATTAGCAGGAGCCCCAGTGGCCTATTACACAAATGAGCTCAGCAGCCATAGCAACTTGGTGCGGAGGAAGAGCGCGGTCAGAGCTGGCGAGTGCAATGGGTCCTGGTGAATGAGCCGTCACACGCGTCCGAGCCCGTGTCCCCGCGGGAAGCCGCTGTCCCTGCCCTTGACCCTGCAGCACTCCCAGCCCTGCTCCGAGACGTGTGTCTCCGCATCACCCAGCTCCCTCCGACAACGCCCTCATCCTCACACGCGCCCATTAAAAAGTCTGTATTAAAATCATATAATTAGGGAGGATAATTAGTTTCTAAAATAGGAATTGATCTTCCCAGCGTTCAGTGCGCTGCGGAATGAAGCAAGGCAGGGAGGAGCCCGGCGCCGGGGGGCTGGTGGTGCAGGGGGTCCTCCCAAAGCTCCAGCAGACGTGGCTGTGCCCAAGCCAAAGCCCATGGATGCACGTGGAAACCTGGGGCACGCTCCTCGCCATGGCTCCCCCGATTCCAAAACTCAGCCCGAGGAACTGAGACTTGTCCCATTAGCAAAGAAAGGATGCCAAAGACTTGGGAGCTCAATCTGATCAGCAGCCCTGCACAATTATGATTTCTTCAGCGTGCACAAACCTCTCGGGCTGAAAAATCAAGCTAGAAGACACCGCTTAAAGGCAGAACCTCCTCCAGCTTCCCTTAACTGGTTTAGTGTGGACTTGGTAATGTTAGGTTAATGGTTGGACTGGATGACCTTAAAGGTCTTTTCCAACCTAAACGATTCTATGATTCTATGATTCTATAAATTCCCACGTTATGTCCTGGCAGTGCCATCCCACCACAGCTGGGAAGGTCCCACCCCACCTCCCCCTCCTGTAAGCCCTGCAAGAGCCCGGCCCCGCCAGCCACCCCTGGGACACGCAAAGCTGATTTCCCTGGGTGAAGAAGGTGGCTTAGTGAAAAGAAGAGCAACACTCACCCCGTGAAAACGAGACACAGGAGGGTGCAGATCAGAATGAGCACCTGGTTAAACATCGCAGACTGGGTCCTTTGTATGGCTCGGTGCAGGTCGTTCTGGGGAGAGAGGAGAGGACTCACCAACTCGGGGAGGCTGAGGGTAAAGTACTCCTCCAAGTACCAGCTGCCGCCTTGCTGGCTCCAGCAATGCCCCCGCAGATGGAGGTCAGGCCAGGATTTGGCCCTTGAAAAGGGACGTGCATTTCTGTGAGCAGGTCTGGGCTCTGCTGCCGGGAGAGACAGCTCGAGTGCGCACGTGGGAATGCCTGGAATATCTCATCCGGCTGAAATACCATATCCTGGGGACAGCCGGAGGCCGTGTCTGTCAATACATGGCCAACAGAGTCAACGTGGCTCATACACTGAAGGGCTCCTGCTCAGGTCCATAGCCCAGCATCACCAGCTGGCAAAGCCTCACCTCCCACCAACCCTGGCACGGCTGCATGTACTGAGCACCAAAAACCAAGAATCGGCCGCAGGCGAGGGCCCCCCTCCCGGCCACGCCACCCTTGGCATCCCCAGGGCAGAGGGACCCAGGGTGAAAGGGGTGGGACGCGTCTGGTCACTCACAATCATGTTCTCCAGGGCGTACTTGGCGAGCCAGCAGTTCAGAAACACGGGAATGAACAAATTCCGCAAAGGAGGCCAGAATATCTATGAAAGCAAGAGTTACTCGTGGAAAAAAACATGTTCTCTATCAGAAAAAGCTATAAACAGCCAATTCAAACCCTGTCGGGAAGGATCCATCTCCAAACTGGAAGATGGAATGATCCATCTTTCAGCTGCAATAGGGCAGCTGAAAACGAGGATGGGTTTTGGGATAATGCTCCAGAGAAAGTCATTATGTTGAAAAATATTGAAGAAAAAAAATTTCCTGCCAGCTTTAAATATTACTTGGCCAGACATCCATTTTTTCTTTATTTCATCACCAAAACTACAGTACTTATTAAACTTAAAAGCTGCTTCAAAATGTCACTGGGAAACACTCACCGTGATAATAAATGGCACCGTGTTGATCATCTCAAGGATGAATGAAATGCGAAAAATCTGTTCCCAGATGTTCCCCTGAGGAATTAAAACCAAATAATAATTAAATAAGCTTAAAAATCTGCCAAATGACAATTAAAAAGCTCCCACTCTGCCACAGACTCTGCTAGAGGGGGGAAGTACAGCAGAGCAGCCAGAAAGATGCTCGGGTTTGCCTGCGGGAGAGATGCCGTGCTGGCGGCAGGCAGGCTGCTGTCAGAAACGCCTTCCCAAACTGTTCGGTCCTTTCTGCAGCCACGATGTCCCTCTGTCCGTCACTGCTGCTGCCCAAAGCCAGGTGACAACCGCGCTTTGGGCAAGGACGGGGAATGAGAGGGATGGGTACAGGTCGCCGGCGCTCAAACCAGGCGGGTGACGCAGGGTCTGAGTCTTTTCTGCCAGCCGTCCCAGGGACCCTGAGAAGATGCCATTTGTTAAGGTCACTTTTCTTGGCCGTTTTAAGGGGCTGCGATCCAAAGCAGCCAGCCTGTGCCTCTCCCGGTCTGGCCTGGAGCAGTGCCTGCTACCTCCGGAGGCAGCAGACCTCGGCACAAGCAGGGGTCATGCTGCCGAGCTCAGCTCCAGGTCCTCAACCTCAGGAAACGCAGCGCGTGTCAATCTGGCCCCCGAAAAAAGCAGCGACCCTTTGTAAAACAGGTCTGCATTTAAAGGAAGGTGGAAAAAGAAGAGATCCCCCCAGCTCTGCTCTGCCAAACACTTATCCAGCAGCCCGAGGGGGAATGAGAAAGGAAGACAGCCACAGCCAGCTGAGACATCGCCGAGACAAGCGTCCTCGCAGGATTCTTCAGGCTTCGGACGGCTCGAAGACAGAGAAATGAATTCACGCCGGGGGGCCAGACCCAGACTGCGCATCACTGTCCACCGCCCACCCTGGGCCACGTACCTTGTAGCTGAGATAGATGAGCAGCATGGTCTCCAGAAAGCTGATTAAAGCTATGCTGACCTGCAGAGACAGACAGGCAAAGGCCGCTGCGGGCTCGTTCCGTGCACCGGCAGCCGATCAGAGCCTGCGGGCGCCTCTGCCGAGCGAGCTCTCCCTCCTCCCGAGCCCGCGGGTATGGCAAACGTGGGCCCGTTCGCTCGATTCCTCTGCACCCGCTCGTGTGAATGCCTGCCACGCAGGAGGAACCGGCATGCAGGCAGCCCTGAGCAGAAGCCGACGGGCGCTCATCCCTCCCACAAGCGATTCCCCAGGCAGCTGCCCAGCCTGAAAATAGCCCGGTACTGGTACAGCTGCACCCAGGCTGGGGAGGAGCTGAGCCAGCCTCATGATTTTCTCTCCCTACAGCTCCTCCTCTCCTATCGGCCCCTGGGATTTTCACCCAGGGCCATGTCATTGCTCCCAGCAGAAGCCCCAGCTGATTTTCCGCTCACCCAAGAGAACCCGTTGCCCCTCGCTGTTGCGGGCAGAGGATGCACAGAGACGCGCTGGCGGCAGAGCTCAAACCCCAGCTCCTGCTGCGCTCCTGCACGACCATGCCCGAGGTCCGGGCACTCACCTGCACAGCCCACAGCGGCATTTTTCTATCCACCCAGAAGATGTGTGACCTGCGAAGAAAATTCAAAAAGGATCTAAACTGTAGCCCAACTAGCAGTGCCTTTACCCTCCACCGAACGCAAATCTGAGGCCGTCACTGACGCATGATCCAGCACAGGACTGGTACTGGTGTGCCTTACTGCACGGTTTGTTCAAGCAGCCTCGGCACTGGGAATAAACCATTCCCAAATGTGCAGCCACAGGCACTTGCCGATTGACTTGACGCCGGGGTGCTGCTCCGCATCCCTCGAGCAGCCCCGTGACCAAGAAATGGCCACGGGCAGCTGCCAGCACCAGCCATGTCCCTCACTGCATTCCCACATCCCGGCAGAGCCGGACCCCAGCACTGGAGCAACTCTCAACTCACCAGTTTATCTTCGTGGACTGGTTGAACGCCGTGTAATTCTGCTTTTCGCATTCCCAGCTAGGAGAAAGACAAAGCAGGGAAAAGCAGTCGGGGGGTGGGGAGGAAGGAGAAGGGGTGCTGGCGTGGACTCCCCGGGCTCACGGGGTGCCCTCTCCGCTCTCGTCTCATGCTGGGGGAGGCACCCAGAAAACACTCCCGTGGGTCCAAACACACACTGGTCCCTATAGCTGGGGCTTTCCACAGGAGCCTAGCTCACCCAGACAGTTTTTAACATCTTATTTCTGGAGAATAAGACCTGTCGGGTACTTCAGCCCGTACCAGAGATGCTGCGAAATGCTGCTACTCGCCAGGCACGGGGCTCCCTGTGCACCCTGCTCCAACACAGGGCTGCAGCTGGGAATTACCAGGTTACAATTAGCAAAAGCTGCTGAGCTTCGGCTTCTAGGACAAGGCTAGCTGGGCCCCGAGCAGCCAGCCAGGCAGGCAGCACCGAAGCCAAGCTCTCCCCCTGCCAGGGATGCGTTCCCCCCGGCCAGCCTTTATTTTGCTACACACCAGGAAAGTGGACTTTCCTGAACTGCAGCTACGCTAAACCCTTCCAGGATAGGCATCTGCGTCACGCTTAATTCTTCCAGATTTGAAACCACTTTTGGACAATGCAGAAGTACTTGGTAGTCCGCAACCTTTACAAAGAGAAAATCAAATTGCTAATTCTCCTAGCTCTTGGGGAAAAAAAAACCACACCGTATGTGAGCTAAACAAAGCAAGGACATATTAAAAATAGGCTTATACTGAAACCCAGAGCAAAGCTGATGTATGTAATCATCTGTCACCTCGGGGATCTAAATGGCAAAACGTATTTCCTTCCCAAACACTTAAATGGGATTTAGCATAAGTGTCTTCAAGGGCATCAGGATTTAGAAAACGCTTGCATGGTGAAGCCCTGTAATCATGAGCTCTCGCCTGCGTCTGAAAGCCACGCTGCACCCCTGACCGTTAGATTTGGCATTTGGGAATGGACATGACGCTGAATTTTTCCACCACCTTCCCACTGTGCAGGGCCAGCGGATGCCCAGACGCCTGTCCATGGGGTTTGAGCAGGCAGCAAAGCCCACCGGACCGGCAAGTTTGGCTAAACTACCAATTCAAACAGCGGGAGTGAGAAAACCCATCCGTCGTGCATCTTCACGCCTGCCGTGAGTAGCTGCCATCACGTCCGTGCTCCCCGTTGCACACAGGGGGTGCGGGGAGCCCGGCGGCAGCGGCACTCACCAGCCTATGCCCTCCTCCGGGTTGTCGAGCAGGACGCGGACGATGTACAGGAGGCAGGTGAGCAGCTTCAGCGAGAAGTTGAAGAGCCGGATCCTCAGGCCTGTGGCAGAGGGGAGCACGGCGTGGGCCAGGCAGCGTACCCCGGGCACGCCATGCACCCCATGCATCCCGTGCAACCCATGCATCCCATGCACCCCAGGCACCCCACAGCACAGCCTCTTTCATTTCCCACAAGCTTTGCAGGGCCCCGCTGAGCCCCGGGGGAGCCGCAGAAGCCCCAGGGCAGCACACAAACGTTGCTCACGCTTTGCCCGGGGCTCTACGTGTCCTACCAGTGTCAACTATATAGCAGACTAATACAGAAATAAATAACGATGAGTCAGCTCCTCGCTGACCCCAATAGATGTGAGACACAAATGAGAGAGCTGCCGGAGTGTATCCCCCTCATTAGCAGGCATCCATCGAAAAGCATCAGACAGGCAGGGCCAGGGCTCCGCTGTGCTCACCGCGCTGCAAACAGCTTACAGGAGGAGCGACGGTGAGAAAAAGCTGCTGCTTTATCCGCTCTCCCTCCCCAGCCAGTTCATCGGGTTATTACTCAAATTACAAGTGAGAAATCACATTTTCATTAAAAACTTCCCCGTGGGCACCCTGTTGTGCTGCGCTCCAGCTTTTCAACAAGGCGACAGGATGCAGGGAGGAAAAGAAAATGTGAATTTATAAATTAACGAGCAGACTCCCTCCAGACAGCTAATGGCATCTCAGAGAAAGAAAATAAAAACACCATTAATCAAGTGGAGGCTAATCTGGATGGCTGAAGCAGAAGCGGGTAACTCATAGCCTGCCTCGGCTGGCCCCACAGCCA